AAGTGATGGTGTATGAGATAGATACTTGTAAGACAGTAACTGGAATGCGAAGCTTTCAATTTGAAACCTTCTGGAAAATTTGGTGTCTTCTCTGCTGTTTGTGTGTTGTTTTCTCTGGCCTTTTACAAGGCAATCCAAGTGTGCTTTGCTCTGAGATTTGCTCTGTGCTCTCCTGTGTGCATCAGGGCCTTTGGCTTTTTCTATTTGGGTTACAGCTCTCTAAACATGTGTGGTGCCTTGGCAATGTGGTGCTGTGTTGTTTCTTAAAAGTAGATCTTATAAGTATGCGATAAGAAACGATGCCAGTCTAGTGGCAGAGGGATCTGCCCAGTGCAGCGCTGCAGACCCACACTGAGCAGCCCAGTTTCAGGGGTCTGTGGTAAGTTGGAGACCTAAACTGGAATCACAGGCTGCCTCCTTCCTACTGAAGGGGCTTTTCCTGAAATAGCGTTTTCTTCCTTGTGCCTTATCCTTCCGATTGCTTTGTTTCTTTAGCCAGTGTTTCTGTTCTGCTTTCTAGGTTTCCAGCAGGTTTCTCTGTTGTCTTCCTATGAAGTTGTAATCCCGCAGAGGTTAGGAAGAGAACGGCGAGAGGCTTCCAATGTCTCCTCAGTACAGGTACTGGGCAGTCTTAAAAATGCCTTCAGTTTAGTATCTACTTCCTAATGAGGTCCACCCAAAACAGACCTGAAATTCTCACAAAACACTATCAGACTCATCTAGCAGCAAACAAGTATCCATCCTTACAAAAGCTATTACATCTAGCATTGTCTTGAGCGGAGTTATGGTAAATACCTCCCTGCTCCAGGGGTTACAAGTTGCAGCAATGGATTTTTGATCTGGGTGTAAAAAGTTGTATAATGAGAGTTGTTAAGCACTGGAATGAGTTTCGGAGAGGTGGTGGAATCGTTATCCTGGGAGATACTCAAAATCTTACTGGAGGAGGCCCTGAGCAGCCTGGGCCAACTCTGTAGCTGGCCCTGCTTTGAGTAGGGGGTTGGATTAGACAACCTCCAGTGGTACTTTCCAGCTTATATCATTCTGCTGTAGCCACGTAACTAAAGACTGCACACTTCAGAGTATTTGGATTAGACCAACTGTGTTTAGTCGCAAATCTTATAAACATTGCCAGAATTTAATATTAACAAAAATGCCTTGCAGTTTATTGCAGTCGTTGACTAGTACTCCTGCTGTGATATTTAATGTAGTGGTCAGGCGATTCAGCTTATCCACTTAATGTTTAAGGGCCCTAGCTGCTGTATGTAGCACTTGGCTAATGCGAGGCTGTGGAGGTACTGGCTCACTGTGAATGTTCAGTAATAAAACTGTATTGTCCTTTTCCAGCTGTAACTAAGAGGGTTTTTTGTGGAAGTCTTAGAAACAAGGAATAAGAAAACCACAAAGCTATTTTGAAATAGCTTCCTTCATATGACTTTTCCCCAGTTACACAGGAAGGGATGCCAGGTTCCGGAGGTAGGGACAATTTTATAAAATAGGTTTCGGGCTCACCCACACGTGGTTATTCCTGGTCTGGTGCAACTAGCAAGGTTTAAGAAGGAAAGTTTATTAGTTTAGTATCTGGCAATTTCAATGTGTGGACATGGCAGTCATTTTGGCTGCTGGATGTCAGGGAACCAGAGCAAATCCTGATGGCTGTGGTCAGCTTCTCATTGCGAAGTCTTGTGGTCTCAGCGAAGTCGGCTAGGAGCACAAGAAACACCCGCTCCCCTGACCAGCGTTGGGGTACCAGCAAGAAGCGTGATGGGAGAGGCAGCTCAGATCGACAGAGTTCTGCATCCCTCTAGGAGGTGGTTTAAATTTTGTTGGTATGAGCTGCACCTCCAGCAACTACAGCTATATCTAAAAAGGCTAACAATACAGACTAGTCCTGAGTTACAGAAGGTGCAGTAGCAGTAACGGAGCTCGCAGAGACTATTTTCTGCCAAACTTTTGTTGATTTCAAAGAATTTTAATTTTATTCATTAACATGAGTAAAATGCAACTGTTTTCATATTCAGGACAAGGTGTCGTATGCTATTGAGATAGAGGGAAAAGAATACACGATTCATCTAGAAAAGAACAAGTAAGTGATAAGTTTCTTTAGATTATTTAATTCCATCTGTTGTGTCCGAATAACAAGCTGGCAGGTAGTATGCGAGTTCTGATTCTTGAGGTTCTTTGAGAAGTGCAGTTACATGCTAGCTCTGCAAAATCTGCAGAGGAAGACAGCAAAAGTGGATTCAGTCACACAGTCTTGGCTATCAGCCAGAAATTTTGTTGAACTCCGGCAACCCTGGCGATCCCCTTTCAGTGAAGGAAGCAGTAGTTTGCTCAAAGGGGATCTGGGGAATTGCTGAAATGACACTCTCCATTTACATCTAAAAATAAACAAACTGAACTATATTTCAAGTAAATATTTTCACTTTCTTCTGGGTTTTGTTTATTGTTTCAGAGTCTTTTTTTCCTGTCTCGGTAGCACAAAAATACTAATAATGAGGAAGCTGACTTTATATCCAAGGCCTCAATATCCATAACTTATAGACAATATAGATGTTGTCTGTCTTGAGTTTAATTTTTAAAGGGCTACTTGCAGCAACAGTAAGTTACCATTTGTCAGGCTGTTGCTTCTTAAAACTGCCCTCATAATATACAAAAGAGACAGAATTATTTAAATGTACAAGCCCCTAGGGATATCTAGCTGATACTTGCCAAGCCCCTGATGCTCAGAAATACGGGAATTCAGCTACACCACATCAAGGGATTTACCAGTATAGGTCAGCAGTCTTAATCGTGGGAGACTTTCCCAGTGCATTTCCTTCCAAAACTGGGGAAGAGAGGTGATATGCAGCATATGTGACTGAGTGCTGTGATTTTTTTTTTTTTTTTTAAATTTTTAATTCTGCATGAAAGCAAGCTTTTAGCACAATTTAATGGGTTTTGATGCTTGTTTTACTTATCCAGGGTGAGGTGGTTGATTTCATTTCATTAACGGTTCCACCATTCTGATATCTTGGATTTTGCTGTGGAAATGCACAATTTCTTTGTTAATTTGGGGGGGTTTCCTTTTGAATGTTTCCTTATTTAATTGCAATTTACATATTTGTGACACTTTTGATTAGGATCATCTTATTGCCCTGCTATAGTGTCATAGTCATTTCATGAAATTCCTCTTGTATTCCTTCTCTCCTTTCCTTACAGAGAACTGCTGCCCAAAGATTTCACAGTTTATACCTATAATAAGGAGGGGAAGTTGCAATCTGAATATCCAGATATCCAGGTAGGATTTCTTTCTTTTTATACCCTTACTGAAGGTGACTTGAACACTGAGCATCTACAAGATGAGGGAGTCGTGTTATAAAGTGATAGTTGTCTTTTTGGCTGGGCCACCTTCTAATCCCGTGCGCGCACTGCACTCTTCCTGGAGAGAAGCCTTGAGTTTGGATGAGGCTCCAGCCTGGAGCTTGTAATAGACCCGTATTTTCTTACGTGGAGGTGATTGCTGTCTAATTAAAAGCTACTCTTTTCTAAAAAGGAAATGTTCTTCCTAGCTGTCAGATATCTCGTTATCTGAGCGCAGTGCTGTCCTTGTCATACAACACAGTGCAGTGTTGGAATCGCTTCTGGACGTGGGCCCTGCTTCTCACGGGGACCAGAACACACGGAGCAGAACTGGGGTGGTCTAGTGGCTGAGTATAGCTTTTACTTTTACACACATCAGTCTTCCAGATTAGTCCACAAGTCAAAATGAATGCTCAGCTGCTGATGCATCTTTTCAGTTGTGTGAGGCTGTCTGTTAGTGTCTCTAAGAATTTTTGAGGGTTGACAGGCTATCCGTTAGTCCAGAAGTTTGGGAACTACTGGAAGGGACGGATGAGAT